AAGGACTAGGCTTTTATATTGCCCTGTTTAGCTTATTCTTTCGCTTTCAACTAATTCTCTATGTACTCAACTGTTTCAGTTCTCCTTGTTGTGATTTTGTTTGAGTAATGCACTTTCTAACTTGTATTAAATTTCATGAAATGCTTAGATCAAAATTTCAACCTTTAGTTTTTACTGATTTCTATCGTTAACACTTTGCTAACATTATGTGTCTCTTTCTGTTTGTACTAATTCAGCTAGTAGTATTATTAGAATGACTATAGTTATGCTATTTCTGTGTTGTGAATTGTTGAAAATTGTAATTTTTATATGCTTTTACTGCTGTACAGTTGTTAAGTAGTGTTACTACTTAGATACAAAAGTAAGAACGAACGAGAGAAATACAGCCATTATGGTTAGTGAGAATAATATCAACAACTTTCAGTTAGCATTCCAGTAAAGATGTTGACATTTTTCACTTCAATCAAAGTGAATTTGGAGTTACAAATAAATAGTATGAATTCCGTTGATTTTCATCAAAACATTGTACGAGTTTCAATAATAAATTTTGATCTTAGCAATTTTTGTTTCATTCTAATTGACAAGAAATTTGTTATGAATCATTCATTTTACATTTCTTTATCACATTGATAGGGAAATTGATAAATTGCAATGTCGAACTTTGTAATTATACTTTTATGACTTTTACTTACATAATCATTAGTCTTTAGTACCATTCACGTAACTGCGTCATATATTTCGAGAAATATTGAAATATGCTTGCAGAGGACCTGAAGAACTGTTTAGGGAGGGACTTTTTATTTTGAACAAAACAGTTAGATTTTTTCTCTGAATGTTAATTCATTTTCTACTTAACTTAGGAATTACTTAATTGGCATTATCTTCTGTATATTCGGGACGACAAAGTAAGTAAAATTTAAGAGACAGAGAGGGAAAGGCTGACTTGCACTTTATTAGACCATCGTCTTAAATACAAATTGGATCTTTTTAGTAAATGTTATCGTTATCTAAGCAACACTGATATTAAATAAAGTCAACGATAAAAAAAAATGTATCCGAATTTAAACTCTCTGCTCTATTCAGTACAATAAAGTAATTACACTTAGCAAGTGCAAGTTAAACTGATAAACTTTCAATTCAGTTGTTATCAGCTAGTTACTACCTGGTGCCATGTTAGAAAATCGAAGTAATTTTACATGTCAAAATAATTAAGATAATTTTGTGTTAAATCTGCGAGATAAAAATTAGTAAACTGAAGACAGTCTTGTTTGAGTATTCTTAAGACCAACGACTGTTTCATTTAAAATTATATAAGAAATGATTTATCCAACATTCATCATTCAATGGTAACTGTACTTCTGTGCATTGTCTAGAATGTATGTCACTGCTTAATATGTTGTGAATAGATTCTTCCACTTTTATTGTTAAAAGTTCTCAGTGTGACAGTCAAATTTATATTCGATAGTTCAAAGGTTATAAGCTCGTTGCTCAGTTAGCTTTCTTTGTTACAAAGCAATCCTATCTACAATATCTAAATGCAGTAGAGGTGTTCTACTCGAAAGTCATTCTTACAAGTAATTCACGTAATGTTATAAAACAACTGTCTACTATACAAAGGGCAAAGGTCAATCAAGAGTGACAACTATTTATTTTACTCACTGTAACCACACGTTTTGTTGTAAGCCAACGTCCACTATAAAACGTGGTTAAAGCTATTGTCTAAGGTGCAGTTTTGATGAAATATGTCTTAAATTCGGTTTTCATAGTATCCTTCAGTCTCTACTCAACGACCAATCCCAGCCGAATTTCTCCAATTAATTACTTTTGATACTATATTTGGTGTTCCAAAGAATTTATCATCAATTAATTAAAATTTCCCGGAAATCTCAGGGATGTGATCAGTCTGCTAAATCATTATGGAGCACTTAAGACGGCATTGTCATATGTAAAACAAATTTAATTTAATGTAAGCATCGTTATCCCATACTTTTCTCAGATTTCGGAACGTCAATGAAAGCGACATTTCCACGTGATTTTCCTTTTTTTTTATTTGTTAAATCAGTTTTATTGCTCTAAGCGGTTGAATGTGAAAACGTTTGCATCTTTGCTGTGCTTTTCCCGACATTTTGTTCAAATATAACTCAGTCAGAGTATCAGTGACAAATGTCAAATAATTTGCTATCATTAATTTCTTTTCCCTTTTGACTGTAATTTTTCACATACTATCTCTCTTTGTACTATTTAACTGATTTTAAAGGAAATTTCTTCTCGTCTAAAGAAATAATTTTTATTTTCAATCACTTTTTGAGATTGTTTCACTTCTGTGACAATCATAAAAATTGATCTAAATCTGACTTTCGGGTGTGATTGGATGATTGAAAGGATCGTTATTGATTACATAACAGTCAGAACGATTAAATTATTTCAATTCAGCTCTGCAAGTTTTCATCTGGAATACTTGGCTACAAACTTTATTCGAGGGGTGCCTTCTGGCTTAGTATTTATGCGAATTCTTTAGTATTGAAATGGATAATATTGTCTAAAACCGCGATTTGAAGATTCATAGGCATTTCAGAATTGCATACAAATTTCATATTAAACACAATGCATCACATGGAACGCCTCAAAAAATATGGACGCATAGAAAAAGAATTGGCTCGTAATTTGCTTGCTGAATTTTATGGCACCGCTCTTCTAAGAGTTAGTATTTCAATTTATTGTTTTAAGTCTATTGAAATTTGAACCTTGAACTTTTTTGATATTCTGAAGCTTAGTCCTTTCTCAAAGAATACAATGCACTTCTTCCGAGGAGATTTTCTGTCGTCTGATCAGGAAATAAATTTGATGAAGAATTCAGTTCATTGGTACTGGTGTGATGGCTCAGTTCGTACTCAGTCCCGGAACATCAAGCTCTCCGATACAAATTAATATTGGTTGGGGACTGGCAATCGCACTATCAGTTTATGTTGCATGGGAAACTTCGGGTAACTTACAAAACTTTACGAAGTTGTTCTCTACCTGTTTTTTTACCTGTTTCCATTAAATTAAAAAAGGAAAAGTGTAGCTCATATAAAGAAGCCGAAATGAAAACTCAAATTCTGACTGTTGTGTGTTCGATAAGTGATAAATCCCTGACTTATGTCTTACCGAAAAAGTTTATATTTCTGCCATTTCGACTATATACCAAAACTATTGTAACTAGATACTGCTTCAAGTACAAACACTTGCTAGGCTCTTTGTTAGTACCACAGATTAGGACTGTTAGTATTTTGAATCGATCCTATTTGGCCATAAGTTTTAGGAATGAAAACTCTTTTTATTGCAACACAATTAGTCCTTTTGCCAACACAATGTTGTATTTGTGTTTTAGGAATCATTGAAATTGTATGTACAATTGGACTAATTTCCAGGTGGACATGTGAATCCGGCAGTAACAGCTGCTTTATGCATTCTCGGAAAGATATCTTTCACTCACAGTCTTCTATATTTCATTGCACAAACACTTGGCGCCGCATTTGGCACAGGGATAATGTATTTAGTTTACAGTGGTAAAATAAATTTGAATATTAAATGTAATTAAGTAAATAACTTCTTCCTGGCACTTACACAACTTTCACCGTTTTCAGAGGCAATAAATGCCTTTGATGGAGGGGTCCGGGCAATAAGTGGGCCAAATGCGACGGGAATAATTTTTGCGTCATTCCCACGGGCTTATCTTTCAAATACTGGCGCTTTTATCGATCAGGTTTGTCTTTCTTTTGTTTACAAAAACAACAACAATAAATTAGCAAAACAGACTTTCATAGTTAAAATACTGTCCGATTTCGTAGTAAGTTAGTTACTTTTTGTTCGATAACTCATTTCAATTTCTCATTCATAGTTTTAGATGGCTGGCACCAGTCTAATTGGCCTTTTTGTCGCATTCTGCTGCGAACCCAAGAACCAAATACCAAGAAATTTAATGCCAGCTCTCTTCGGTACAATTGCAACAACAATTTCAATGTGTTGTGGCTTGAATATGGGTTCTCCGGTCAATCCTGCTAGCGACTTTGGGGCACGGATTTTTGCCTCTTTAATTGGTTATGGCACTCAGCTTTTTACGTCAGTGCTTTAATTTTCCATCAATCTTATTTGCCCTGTCAAAATTTCCTGAAATTTATCTAAATTTTCATTCTTTCAGATTCCATAACTACTTTTTTCTCGTTCCACTAGTGGCGCCAATTGTGGGTGCTATAATTGGCGTATATTTATATCAATTCTTCATCGGTTTTCATATTCCGAAACCGGCAGCAACAGCGGTAAATGTCAACGACGATAAATGGGAAATAGATCAAGAAAACGAATTAAGACAAGATTCTGGAAGATTACTATAACCAGGGCACGCTGTTGCTTCCGTCGTAGAATTTGAAACTCTGCATCATTCCTGCAACTTTTCGGATGCCAGTCTTTCTTTCATGCAACCTTAGTCGAAGGCTGTGCAAATAAGCGCACGTGTGTACGTTTGTCGAACTGTTCGAAGACCTTTCAGATACAAAATCATAAAACTGATTCCGGTCTTGTGTTTAACCAGTTATTTAATATTTTTATGTATAATCGGTTCTTAATATTTACACGTTTTTATCTCCAGTTTTTCTTTTAAGTTGGAATGAAAAACGCTGCCATACAAAAACTACAGAAAAAGGTCTTCCACTGTTCTTGAATTTTAATAAGTTTAAATTTAAAATGAGACACTTAGCATCGAAATGAGTCGATTTCGAATTTCAGTTCAGTGCAGTGATACGAATATGCGAGTACATTAATATATGGGGCAACACCAAGTACGGCAATACCAGAATAAGATATTGGTTGTGCGCTACATATGACAACAAATAAACCAAACTGTTTAGAATTTCCATACATTAGAGACCCATAATAACATATAACAAAATAAATAATGTGCAAATTCATATGCATTCAATCAAATGTTTGCGTAGAAAATACAGAAAAACAAAGGAAAGTCATCATCCGCCATGTAAAGTAGAGATAAATGAAACAGTATCGCCATCTTCTAGGACTGTTTTAGGTCCTTCAAGCACCTCCCAGTCCACATCATTAACAAGCACCAGTATTCCCGGTCGTACGCCTTCGCCGTCCTTATCTACCAACAGATGAGACCTTGATTTGTCCGGTATTAGGTTAATATTGATATACCGCACCAAATCACTAATTAATAATGGCCCTGAATCGTTTGGTACCTGAACATCGAATTCTTTCTGCATGTCAAACAACGATTCTGCACCACCAGAAAACTCGAGCTTCAAGCTTAAAACACCCATTTTAGTTTAAAGCCTGGAAATTAGTTCTGCAAACTTTTTATCAGAAGCTGTATAAGCTTACGTGTATTGGGATCACACTTTTTACAAACACTGATAAATAATTCGAATACACTAATTTACATTTTAAAAATCTTCATCACTCGTCGTACCCAACACTATTCTCAATATTTTTCACGTGAAATACTAGCCAGTTAATACTTCCACCAGTGCTACATAAATGTGTTCCAGAGTGAATTCTAGCAATCTCTGTCTTCTTCCCACACCTAAAACACGTACCCTCCCATCTCGAACCCCTTTACAACCCAAACCCCTCAATTTGAAATCCTAAGCTTTCACCTCCACGTAAGGACTTCCCAAGTAACGCGGCCCAAACAGGTGTCGCGTATTGATCCGTTTTGAAAATTATTGCTTAACTTACCTTCAGTTTTGTTTGTTAACTTAACTTCAATTTTTTTATAGGGAGCAAGGGGAGTAATTCTTTTCACTGAAAGTTACGTTCATTCATATGACTTTATCTCGAAAAGACCTTCAATTTTTCATGTAGTGTTCAGTTTGAAATCATTTCAACTAGGTATGCACGAGGCTTGCACCTTTTTATAATGGTTGTGGAAGTGAGACAATTATGGTGCTTATTAAACTTATGTAAAACAAATGCTCTTAACATTGGACATTTTGAACAGTAAATAAAATAATGACTGCTGTTTCAATATCTTAAGAATTTTCAGTTGCTGTTGAATAAACTTAATAAGATTTATTCACAGATGATTGCGAGAAGAAACAAAAAACAGAATTTGGAACATTTCGAGTATACTAAAAATACTAAAGAGGTGAAAGATGAAAAGACTGAAATATTAGGTTCATCCAAATCCGGCATGAAAATGGTTGGAGAACAATGTATTGGACAGAGTAGTGCTTTTGCTGTGCTTGATTCGCAGTACAAATCATGGCGATTGATTGTGCGCAATTTACCATTTAAGGTTGGTTTCTCAAATTTTAGCTTTAGCCCTGTAAATTTCATTATATCAAAATTTTTCTGTTTGTCAATTAAATTTTTTTTTTTTTGATTTTTTTGTTTGTCAATTTTTTATATCATCGCTTTATGATTTAGACTTTTATAAAGTGCTTGTTATTGGTATTTTTTTTTCATTGTTCTTGTAAGTTTCACATTTCAATTTAATTTATCTTTTTTAGCGTCGTTTATTTGATCCATTAAAGTGTATCCTTTTTAATGAAAAGCTTATATATGAAGAGCAGAAATACTATGTAATGTTGAGAGCACTATCCTTTATTTCCAGACGACACAGGAAGATCTACAAACAGTATTTGGCAACTTTGGCCCACTCAGTGAAATTGTTTTGCCGAAGTGCAAAGATAAACGGTTCCCTAATTCGTGTGCTGGTTTCGCGTTTATCCAATTTCGGAAACGTCAGAATGCCATGGAAGCAATTGAGAAATTAAATATGTCTGAGGTTAAAATATTCCTTCATTAGATAGTTTGTTTTTCTCGAAAGTGTTTCTCGTAAAAAAACCTGTCATATTTTCAGAAAAATAAAGGCAAGAAGTTTTTCCAGGTACTGGGAAGAAAAATTGCAGTGGACTATGCTTTGTCGAAAGATACTTACGAAACAGCAGTACATGAAGGTTTTTTTGTTGCAATTTTAATTCATTAAACGTGGCGTTTTTGAGTGCACGTTTTCAGTTTAAGCTCAAACCAAAACTTTTGAGCTCAAATTAAAAATTTTTGAACGCTTAAGTTTTAAGTTAGTGTTACATGACTACTTGCTAGATGTGTTCAACGAAGGATTTATATGGAATACAATTCATAATTGAATTGCTGAGTTATCCTCTTCTGTTATTTTCAGAAAAACAGAAGAATGAAGAAATTAAGAAAGAAATCAAACAAGAGGTTGAGTCGAACGATGGCAGTATCATTGAGAAGGAAGGAAGAGACGATAGCGAAATCAAGGAAGAAGTAATGAGTGAAGGCTTATCTGATGAAGATACTTACAAAATCGAAAAGAAATCAGAAAAACAAGCTGCACAAGAATTCAAGGAAGACAAAGCAGTATTGGAAGGACGTGTCGTATTCATCAGGTTAATAGTCATGGTAGTTTAATAAAAGTGTGGTGAGGAGTGAATTAAGGAAATTGTAATTCGCGAAGAAATTTTTTTTTTTTTTAAGTTATGATATCAACGTTGCAGTATTCGAGTTGAATGTTTAAGCTCACTTATCGGGCTGTCGCTTTTGGATTCAAAAAAAAAAATGAAATCGTGTTCTAGAAATTTTGTTTCAGAAACTTGTCATATGAAACAACAGATAAGGAGTTGAAGGAAGCCTTGTCCAAGTTTGGGAACATTTCATTAGCAGTTCTTTGTTATTATGCGGGTAGTGAGCATCCAAAGGGAACCGCTTTTGTGCATTTCGAAACAGCTGATGGGGCAGAAAAATGCTTATCTGCCATTGATCAGGTAAGATCTATGACCATTTTCTAGATCAATCTTAGAAGCTAAATTCTTGGTGTCTGATAGCAATTTGAAAAATTGTTTTTTATGGAATATTATGATTTAGTAGTGTTCTGGTAAGGATAGTCATCTTTTAGTATTGGGTTCAAGAATTGATTAAGTTCTAGAGGGTAGTTTTAGTGTTTTGTCACACATTTTAGTATCGCTATTTAAGGCTCCTGGTATTTTAATTGGTGGTCGTCGAATTTTCGGTCATCAAGCATTGCCAAGAAGTGAAGCAGCAAGAATTGAAAAGGTATCCATCAACGTAGTAGTTTGTCTTCAATATTGAAAGTACTAATAAGAAAAGCTAAATTAATGAGGGATATTGTGGATTTTTTTTGATTCGTGCTTATTCTCTCTGCTTCGTTATCTTTTATGACTGGAAATTTATTTTGATAGAAATGCTTTTTGTATATTGTTTTGTTATATTTTTTAAAAAAATGTCAATATCTACTTTTTTTTAAAGGAGAAACTGTCAAAAAAACCAAAAGACAAACGAAATCTTTTCCTTCTACGTGCTGGTTTTATACGACCTGGTTCAACTGCTGCAGCTGGGATGAGTGAAGCAGATGCTGAGAAGCGTGCACGTATGGCAGTAGTTGCACGAAAAAAGCTAAAAAACCTTCACATGTATGTTTGTTTTAGTTCTATTGTATCAGCATGAAATCAAGTTGCGCATCTTGGGCATCTTATTCCCGATTTATATTAATTTTTCTTTTCATATACTCATATTTATGACTTTTGTATTAATTTTTCTGTGCTCTTTCAGATACATGTAATTCACTATACTTATTTATGAATTAAAGATTTTTTAGGTTTAATCTGATCTGTAAAGTAGAGGGACTTTTGAAAACTTATTTAACAAACTCAAATGTTATTTTGTCTCCTAGGTTATAATTTCAGTAGCTCAGTTTATTCTTGTTACTAACTTGCTATAAAATGTGATAAAGAAGGAGTGAATAATATTTAGTGTCTATAAAGTTACAGAAGCAGGCAATTATGAAGCTAAATTGCAGGTTTGTCTCTCCAACGCGTTTGGTTGTTCACAATTTACCAAAATCTTTAACAGATAAAGCCTTTAGATCGATGTGCTTTATTGCAGCTGGCAATCCAGATGCCAAAATAACTGAAGTATGTCTTCAAATTAAAAAAAAATTGACTATATTAATTCTTCAACTCATAAACTTGAGCTTTTACTGTGTTGAAATATTTCTCAGCACTTTTTATCCATCTTAGAAGAAAATTAGATACTTTAGTAGTCTATTAATTTGCAAGTACATGTTCATCGACATATGGTCAATATTTTCAGTGTCGGATTTGGCGAGATAGAAATAAACTAGGTACGTCTGGTGAAGCCGTATCTCGAGGTTTTGGCTTTGTCAACTTTTTGAACCATGAGGATGCATTATCAGCTATGAAGCATTTAAATAATAATCCGGATATATTTACCAAAGAAAAGGTTTCATTTAAGCTAGATTTCTATTTTGAATAAAATTTAAAATCGAAAAAGTTATTTAATGTGTTTCTAAATTACTTCTTGTGATTCTTGTTAATAGCGCTTTGATTACTTTTTGATGAAAAGTTGAACATTTTTAGTGCCTCGCTTTAAATATTTCTGTAAAAGGCTGTAAACTATTGACGGATTCTTCTAATTTATTTTGTCCGTAAGTTGCGTTTAATTTAAAATATTTTTAGAGACCCATTGTTGAATTTTCTATTGAAAACCTGGTTGCTCTTCGACTTCGTGAATCAAGGCTGAAGAAGTCGCAGCAGAACCAAAAGGGTAATGAACAAGTTATATGTGATAAGAATAAACTGGATTTGGAACAAACAAAGAAGCGTCTTTCGGCTGGTGGACAGAAACCTCTTCCTTCTTATTTGGGACCAAAAATTCGAAAAAGAGATGCAAATATGAAAAAAGCTCAGGTGAAAAAATTTAACAAGTTTTTATTGTGCCTTTAATTGTTTTTTTTTTTTTTTTCAAAAATTTGTTGCTCTTATTACGTCGATATTACGTTTAGGTGAAACAAAAAATCGGTAAGAAGAGAAAACTGCAAGTAAGAATGTCTGGAACAGTATTAAAGAAAAGAAAGACAAATCATATAGCTGAAGCGACGCCGAAGAAGAAAAAAACAAGTCGTTCTAAACAGCTTACAAAATATCTTACCCTCTCAGGTTGATGTGATAATTTATGATAATTTCAGTGAACTCTGTGCACTTAATTGAAAATTGTTCAAGTGAATAGTTGTTGATGTCTCAATTGTTAGTGAATAATTGTTATTGACGTTTTCAAATCTCTAGACTAATGAAAATTTCCGTAAGTCGAATTTCACGTGAAATAAAAATAAATTCCGAATGCTTCATATCAACTTTTTAAATTGAGGCTTTGCAGATTTTTTAGGTGGGGATTGAAATTTAAGTTTTATAGACAAAGCGCTTTGATTTTATTGGTTTCTAGCTCACTTATGTGAGAGTCTATTTAAAATGTAAACGAC